GGCCTCTCCGCCTAGACAGTGGTAGATCCCCCTACGTTCATAATGAGGTAGTGCCATGTCCGATGACCGCTGTGCACGGAGAAGCTTCGCTGAGGTCGAATGCCTTGCCGTATTAGTGAGGAGATGTGGCCCCGTCTCAAGGCATGAGGCTGAGGGAATGATCCCCCCCAGGTCCTTCGGGAGTCTGTCATATATTTGATATCTCGGATTACTCAAAGGTGCAATGTATCGTCCGCCCTTCACGCTGTTTACTTGTTGTGATTACAATCCAACGCACACGCATTCGATGCACGCCACAATCAGTATTCAGTTCGAGATAGGTTCCCCTCGCCTCAGAGCTAGATCTATCATGGCGGCTACCAAGAAATGACGGTCACTCAGAGGCGTGAACATGAAACGAACGCGAACGTCCGAGGAAAACACGACGCTAGCTTGACCTTATCGGTATCACATATCAACGACCAATCCGAACGAGATAGTCGACAGATACCTGTTCAGTGGAGTGAGATTATAGAGCGAGAGGAGGCCGGGTCGAAAACTGATAGCAAGGATGTTTGACAATCGACTAGCACGGCCAAGATGAGCCGTGCGTCCGCATCAGCCACTTCTCTTCCAACAGAACAACTCGGAAAACTCGTGCCGATCGTACGAGGTGGTACACGAGAAAGGGATGCGGGGAGTTTGTGGAGCTGGCCCATTCCTGTTGATCACCGAATTCCGAGATAAATGACGATCCAAGATATTTCCCCGTTGATAGGTGATAGAAGAGGTGGCGTGCTAGAGACTCTGAACGATAGGTTGGCTGGACACACGGATATGAAGTCGGTCGGTGCATACTGGCCATATACGAGTAGGATTGGATGGCGAACATGGTTAGAGACCAATGATGGCGAGCGCTCGACGGAGATCTGGGCGCGACGTTCGTGGAGGATAAATTTGGGTGGGGGTTGGACGGAGTTTCGGCGCGGTGGTCATTCAATATCACGGTTGGTGCGTAAGTCCGTCCTCAGATCGCAGTCGGAAATGAGGAGGGATGATAACAGCGCCTCGACAGGACTTTATCCTTGGAGAGGGGTCGTAGTCAACCACAATTACCGCTTTGCTCGGTGCTAGGCTGGGAAACTCCGGCACTTGGAAGTCTGACAGTGGGGCAGAAATACCTCTTGGAGTAAGTCGGTAGCTTCAGAAGACCACGAGGAACTAGAATACACACCTGAAATTATTGTGGAACACTTGTCGACAGGATGGGCGATGTGTCGATCCTTGTTGTAAAGGAGGCAAGAGGAAGTTCGACATCTCAACGGTGAGCGGAGCTTGGGAAATTCCGTAAGGTGATTGGTCCGTCCTCCTTGTCGTCTCCCACCAGGACAGCGAAGCGAGCAAGTCATCGAGCAGAGTGAAATTCTTCAGAGCAAGAAGCTCACACCAGCGAAGTACCGTAACACGTTCCGCCAGCCTCCAGAGAGTAAAAAAACGACGGAGGCCTGGGGCCGTCGTGGTTTGGGATGAGGACATAGACATCACCACTCGGTCCCTAAATTTTTAACTTGCGGGGGCGGGGTACCCGCGAAACCTGAACATCCGGGAGGGGGAACAGGGCATGGTCACAAGGCACGGCAATAGCCGACCGACGGTGTCAGTGCCAGAACAACGTGGCTCACGCGGGAGACGCGTACGCGTACAACTGCACCCTCAAAAACTATTCCATTTCCCTCCCCCAATCTCGTCTTTTTACCATGCCTGTCGTTGTTCAAACTCGAAGCCAACCTGGGGGACTGAAGTCCTATTACCAGGCAAAGATCGAGGCCGCAGAAATTACGATCAATCAAAAGACGCAGAACTTGCGTCGATTGGAGGCACAGAGGAACGCACTCAATGCTCGAGGTGAGTTCGTGAATTGGTATGTATCACCGGCCACCCCACTAAATCTTCTTGTGCTCAGTTCGCCTGTTAAGGGAGGAGCTGCAGTTGCTTCACGAGCCGGGAAGTTATGTCGGCGAGGTGGTGAAAGTTATGGGGAAGAACAAAGTCTTGGTGAAGGTGCAACCGGAGGGCAAATACAGTACGTCCTGCAAGGCCCCATTTCGCAACTCCTACTGACTCAGTTTCCGCCACCTAGTCGTTGACATCGACTCTGAAATCGATATTGCAACCTTGACACCTACACTTCGAGTTGCTCTCCGCTCTGACTCTTACACAATTCACAAGATCCTACCGAACAAGGTCGATCCCCTCGTTTCTCTCATGATGGTCGAGAAAGTCCCCGATAGCACCTACGAAATGGTTGGTGGTCTCGACAAGCAAATCAAGGAGATCAAGGAGGTCATCGAACTTCCCGTCAAACACCCTGAACTCTTCGAAGCACTCGGTATCGCTCAACCCAAGGGTGTCCTACTTTACGGACCCCCAGGTACCGGAAAGACGCTTTTGGCCAGGGCCGTCGCACACCACACGGATTGTAAATTCATTAGGGTTTCAGGGTCGGAGTTGGTGCAAAAGTATATTGGTGAGGGAAGTCGAATGGTTCGAGAGTTGTTCGTCATGGCAAGAGAGCATGCGCCGAGTATCATTTTCATGGACGAGATTGATTCGATAGGAAGTTCGAGAGGAGAGAGTGGCTCTGGTGGCGGTGACTCGGAGGTGCAGAGGACGATGTTGGAGTTATTAAACCAGCTAGATGGGTTCGAGCCGACGAAGAATATCAAGGTCATCATGGCTACGAACCGAATAGGTATGACTTTGAATCAGGAATCCGGTGGTCATTGCTAAGACTCTCCTTCAATAGATATTCTCGACCAGGCTCTCCTCCGACCAGGTCGTATCGATCGTAAGATCGAATTCCCACCCCCTGGTCCCGAAGCTCGAGTGGCTATCCTCAGGATTCACTCTCGCAAGGTTAGTCTCTGAAAAGCACCTCTCGTCTAGGGTCGTGTTTTAATCGCTCTTTAGATGTCCTTGCAACGTGGAATCAACCTCCGCGCCCTCGCCGAGAAGATGGGTCAATGTTCAGGCGCCGAAGTCCGGGGTATCTGTACGGAAGCGGGTCAGTCTATCTCATCCCCTTTATCTCGACCTATATAACAGATCTGACGTGAAATCTTGGTAGGGATGTACGCTTTACGTGAACGCAGACAACACGTAACACAGGAAGACTTTGAGTTCGCTATCGCCAAGGTACTGAAGAAGAGCCAGGAAGGAAGCACCTCGGTTAACAAACTCTTCACATAATCTTCGAGGGTTGGATTTCACTTTGAACGACACATATGGGCTTATCTCTTGTGCATTACCTTGTTCCCGCACCGCACTTAATTCAGTATCTATCTTTCAGCATGAGGGTGGTTATCTAGCCTCCGTGTCTATTACCGTAAGGGGCCTCACGAGTGGGTCACTCAGATAAGAACCTGGAACAGCTGTAGTCAATGACCACCCTTCAACACCTTGGTCTAGGGATGCGATTTTTTTTATCAAGGCGAAAGCTGAATGGCCGAATGCCAGAGCGTGACCGGGTGGAATTTAGAGGACTGTAAAGAGGCCAAGGCGAGAGAAAATGCAGACGTGTCTCGAGCCCCATGTGCTAGGCACTAACCCCTAACCACGATTCGGGAGAAGGATGGGAACGGAATCACTCTCGCAAACACTGGTATTGATTAGTGAATAACTCAAGCTAGCGATACAAAATCATTGGGTATTCCGTCTCAACCCATTCTTCAACCCCTCAACAGCCACTCGAGCATTGGTCCTTAGCCTGCCCTCGCCTGAGGTAGAAGTACCAACGCCTTCACCTTCACCATCGACCCCGCGCTCATCGTACCCCAACCCTAATCTATCAGCAATCCTCCTTACATTCTCATCTTCCCTTCCCCAAGTCCCTTCTTGACGCTGTGTTTCCCAGAACGCTTCTTTTCGATCTCGGAATTCTGGGACTCGCAGTGAAGCGCCTTGGAGGTATCGAAGGAGGTGGAGACGGAGGAAGGTTTGGTCGAGGGAGGATGCGACGGTTGAGAGAGTTGCGAGAGGAGGGGGTGTCGGAGGGTTGGCTGGGAGGAACACGTGGATGACTGGGGGAAGGGCGAGGAAGAGGAGGTGCCGAATGAGCCACATGGTATCATGCCACTAATTCACCAGCAAAGGCAGAGTCAGTTGTCATTCGTTGACGATGCAAGGTGGAAGAGACGCACCATTACGACGTCCCTCCCACTTCTAGGGATCTTGATTTGTACAGTCAAAACAATATACGCCTCTACAACCGCCGAACAAACAATCGCGGCGATACCATACATCCGCCACCGTTCTCTATAGCTCCCCACAATCGTTACAAGTCCTACAACAGCTGCTGCACGGATATATTGGAGAAGGGGCGTTGGGAGCGCGTGGAGTGCGTACTCCGAAGGAGTTTGACAGTAATCACAGTTTTGGATGACTGCCTGACCGAACCTAGAGACCATGTCCGGAATCAGCAAAGGGGCCAGACTGGGAGTAACAGGAATCAAGAGGGCAGAACCTAACATATACAGTTCTAGCATCAAAAGATGAGAGACGGGAGATGAGAGTCTCAAGACTCGGCGGCAGTTGCCCTTGCGCATCCATTCCAGCTAGACGAAGTAGACGCGCCCTAATCTCGTCCGAGGGCATCGTCAAAGGAATATTCATCCGCATAAAAAGATTCGGTGGGAAGTGCAAGATCATCTTATACAAGACGTAGAGCGAGTGAAGCAGTACGAGAACAGACAGTGGTTTGCGGAAGGGTGGCACAGGAGATGAAGGGGCGCCATTGGATTTACGCGAATAATATACGGCTGGAATGATTATTGCGAGGGAGGTCAGGAGGAAGGCATCGATGGATGCACTCAGGACAGGCATGGAAGTCTTGGTGCAGCAGCAAGTTCGTGTGACGCAGTGGCGGGCCGGGAGAAACGGTGTCTTTTTTGGGAATACCCACGCCACCACTAAGGGCGAAGGCTATTGGCGCTCCAATAACCTGCCTTGATACAGGTATCATCGGTTCAATGGTCTAGTGGTTATGATCTCTGTCTTACAATCTTGTGAGCTACACAGAGGGTCTCCGGTTCGATCCCGGGTTGAACCATATTTTGCCGACTTTCCAAAGTCGGCGAAATACTGATATGTTTTTACCGATTTCCAACATTCAACTTTGGTTGGTTTCGAACAATTTGAAGGTCTAATCACAGCAAACGGTGTATTGGGAGCGAAACCGGGTATAGAGGGTACAATCGTGAAACGAGCGCGAGCGATTCCAAGAAGTCCATGCAAGCACAGATAAGGAAGATGATGTTCTAGGTCGTAAACTCAGAGGCATAGGCAAAAAGAGGCATATCAACAGGCGTTCATCATGACTTGGAGGCGACTCCATTCTTCAGTGCACCCTCCAGAGGGTATGGGGAAGGCTCCTTCAACTCCATGTCCACAGCCTCCTTACCATGTTCCGTAAGCAAAGGCACTCCACTGTCAAGATCACTGTCAAAGTATTTCGGAGCAAACCTGTGCAAGGTGCTTCGTCAAAATCTGGAATCACGGGCGAAGATTTCGGGCTTATAAAGGGAAGTCAAACTTACTCGATACCCTTCCTCTTCCGCTCAGCAGTATCGTCTCTCTGCTTCTGCTCTATCGCCTGCTTATGCCTCGTCGCCTCGCTGAACTCCTTCTTCAACAACTTATACGTCACATTCTCCCAAAGTTTCCGACTCTCATCGGGTAACTGCCGTTCAAGAGGTCGTACAGTCTTTGGTATAACGTACAACGGAGTCAAGTCGATGAGGGTAGCCCAAGCGGGGGAGACGGTATCACTGGTGGTACGTGACAAGTCGGATCTTGAAGTAGCAGCTGAGGATGTGGCAGATGAAGAAGAGGCCGAAGACGATGTGTAGCGCCAACGAATCTTAGTCTTCCACGATCCATCCAATACTGCGATGATACGGGATTGAGGCACGTGCTTGACTCGCGTCCATTCTTCGACTTCCTCCTCTCCTTCGGTGTACGTATGGATAACGCCGTCGATGGCGTAGTGAGCCTTGCCCAGCCACGACTGTCAAGATAACAGGTCAAGATATATCGTTTTTCATCGCCACACCAACTTACCTCTTCCTTGTACTCAAGAATCGCGCGAAACCTCTCTCCTTTGCCTTTACCAGTACAGGTAATGATGGTGGATTCCCCAATCGTGACGTAGAAGTTACCCCGCAAGAGTCCGTTGACGCTAGCGACAGGATGTGTCACTTGGTAAACTTCTCCTTCACCAGCACCCCCAGTCAACCGAATAAAGATGCCCTTGTTGAATGATCCAGGCGCAACCTTGACGCTAGTCCCGGAGACCTTGGCGGAAATCTGATCAATCCCCGTCATCTCGACCGACCGAGAAGGACACGCAGCGTAAAACGCAGAGATGGGAGGATGATGGGACACTTGCTCAGTCAAGAATATGATTCGAACTCGAGTGGAAGTCTCGTCCTCGTTGGCCTCCAGCATACTGTCTCCCGCGATGCTACCGTGATCGAGGCTGAGGTTGGACATTTGGGCATCCAGGTTCGTTTCGACCAATCCAGGGGATGTAGCGGGTGTGCTCCATCCCATGGAAGACATGAAACTGAATCCGCTGCGAGTGCTCTTGGCACTCTTGGCGCTACGACCGCTCTTGACGCTGGCGGACTCGGAGCTAAGGAGGCGCGAGGATAGGTTGGGAGCGGAGACGACAGTGGATACTGTGTCTTCTGTTGGCATTCCGATGTAGAGTCGTTGGGTTGGTGGTGCCATGGGGTCCGACGTGTATGAGACAGGGATGACATCCCAGGAGCAACGGAAGTGTTCTCCGAGAACGGAATTGTAAGGTTTGCAGACTTTGCCTCTCTGTGGGGACGGGTTTCTTGAATGACGAGTAAGACCATGGGATGAGTTGACACTTACGATGAACTTTAAATCTTTGGTGAACGTAAACCTAATCACAGCCAACATGCGTTCAAAGGCATCCTCGGAGTCATTGATTCTGGTAAGCGATGTGTAAAGGTCAATAAACGTGTTGGAAAATTGGGAACGCGGAGCACTCACGCAGCAAACAAGTCCGGTCTGTCGAGATAATGCCAATACTCGAGGTTGGGAATCGGTTCGAGCAACGAAGCTGGCAACGACAACCGCCTATTCGATAGGATATGCGGTCATGCACGAGGTCTCAGAAATGAAAGAACCAACATGGCTGCAATGTCCTTGACACCGAGACATTTCTTGACAAGCTGAACAATCATCTTGAGTTTGCCCCCCTCGGATTCGTGGTCACCAGAATCAGCCATTACGATTGGAGGACCAGGAAGGTCGTGTTCATCTTCGTGAGCATCTTGGGTTGACGGTGGCATGGGGGCGTCGTTAACGAGTGAGTAAGATGGAGGAAAGGAAGTGAGCAAGCAGTAAAGAGGCGATAGGGACCTTGTGAACTGGCGGTGTCCTGACAAGTCTCAGCGCCTCCACGAACGTGATGCCCAAAATTGGTCAAACACATGGAAGCATGTCATAGGACGTGACTTTTGTGTCACACCTTGCCTCCTCATCCTCCGCCGATGCTTGTCTACCTGTGCTCGCTTCTTCTGCCTAGATTACAGCTCCCCTTTTCTGGGTTGAGCCAAAGCACGGAACTGCCGCTGGTGGTGATCACCACACAGTTACATTACCGGAATCCCACCGCCACCGTCATCTATACACAGCCCCAAGTGATACGCCCATATTGTTCGGATCTCCAGGAAAGGTACGCGTCGAAGACTCTAACTTGACCCCTTGATCTCTAGTCATTCCAAGGCGACTGTCAGAGGCTCCACACAGGTATCGCGTACCCTGCGACTGTCATTCAGGGAGGCTCAGGCTTACCATGGTGGACTCCTGTACATGTCTCGATGGTCTAATGGTTATGACGCGCGTCTCACATTCAAACTTGTGTTTGTTGTGCCCACTCGAGGCTCCCGGTTCGATCCCGGGTCGAGACACGTTTTTGATTGTTCTTTTCTTCCCCATGCGAGTGATCTGTAAGATTTTCCTTCTCGCTGGCTACTTTTCGATACTGACAACAACTGGGACGTCCAGGAGCTCTCAGCGTCTTTCCTACGTGTTCTAACGTCCCCTCTCCATGATATCTATCGGGTTCGAAGGTCAGAAGACTGCCCCATTGAGAGGGGCCGCCGTTACATTATCCGATATCGACGCGATTTTGATGACGGAGGGGGATGGGGAGGAAGGAGACGGTGCACCAGCACCTCTCTTCGTTGCCCTCCTCTCCTTCGAAGGGATTATGGACACAGACTCTCGCAGAGTATCAGTACACGGGGCGTTCCGTCTGTGCCCAGCCTCTGGTTCTCTCGATACAACTTCACACGGCCTTTATCCAGTGGGGCGTCTGGAAAAATCGCTGGCTTGCAAACCAAGTGGCCCACTCTACTCTTTCACGATCTTTTGGACTTCGCCACTACCTTAGACTTGTGTTAAAAGAATCAGCGCATGGCGCCAAGTGGCCTCCATGATCGCAGCGGCAGGTAACTCGAATGAATTCAATCGCATTGATTTGGACAGCTACCACCGTCAATGGTGACCGTCAAGGCCGAGAACTGGTTGGCATCGTTCCCATTACGACCCCGGGGCCTCGTATTTCTTGGGATATTCTAGTGGTCAAGTCCGTTCGCGGCACATTTGCTTCAGGACGAAGTGTTTTTTCACCCATCTCATTTGGACATACATATAGTAACGCGGGCGGAGACCTGGACGACCCGGTATGTTTCGTTCATATCTTGCTGGGCAAGTTGATCTAAATAGCTTCTCTGTAGGACTGTCAATCTGGTGATCCAGATCCGGCCGACTTCTTCTGGTGGCCAGAAGATATTTCGGAGATCATGAAAGCCTCTGGCATGTGGGACTAATTTTGTTGTGTTGGTGGTCGACAAGGTTTGGATGGGGGAACGCATACATTCTACAATCCAGAGTCAATTTACCTGGTGATGGGCCATCGCCTCCAGTCAGTCACATGGAAGCATGGAAAATGTGTTAGCGGCAATGGAGACCAATGGCAACAACCAGGAAACGCAACGGACTATTGTCTGATCCTTCCTATCCGGGCTTCGGACTCAACGCACATTGGCAACAGTCTACCCACCATCTTCATCGGATGCAAGGATTACCGTCGGGAGTCTTACCAGCGAACAAACATCCTCTAGATACCAAGGACCTCTAATTTCTTCTCGGGTGGGTGAATATTCGGTCACCCCAGGCGTAAGCTGTCTGCGAGGACTTGATGTCTTGAATCAAGGATCATCAACTCAACAGTGTTTCAAAGGTGTCATTTTCGAACTATTATACAGTATACAATTCTTCTCGACACCCAAGTCCACAGCCACCAGGAGGCAGCAAGCACCCAACACACCAACAAAGAGCAGCGACACCTAATTAGCGGCTACGGCAGCAAACGAACGAAACGGAAGTGAAGACATAAGAACAGAATGACCAACTATTTGCTACGAGGTTTGATTCGAAAAGGAAGGAAAAAAAAACAGGTCGATGAGCACAATAACCTTCTTCTGAGTAGGGAGTGATATAGGATAGATAGCAGAACGACAAGAATTGACGACAGGGGGAAAGAGAGACGAAGCCAAGATGCTGACGGGGGGATTTGTGGTTCGACGAGATGGTACTTCGTACCGGAATCGGGGGAAGTAACGATGGCGAAGCAACGGATGACAAAGGGAATTAAATGACAGTGGAAGCCCGCCTCGTACGAACAACGGGGAGCGATATATGGAGCTTCAATTTCAATGGATTTTGGCTCATTGACCGACGAAAAGCGACTGACAGAGACGAACGAAAAAAGAATCAGCATCACCCAACCATATATCTGAAGCGAATTCGAAACCCACCTGAAACAAAACAAGACCACACCCAGACCACTCACTTCCTCGCCAAACTCAAGCTCCTCATACTCTCCTCCAACAAGCCCAAGCCATCCTTCTTCACATTCTCAATAACCAGCTTCCCCCTACACTTGACCGCTTCACAAGCCTTCTCGCAAACATCCTCCCTCCTCCCCATCGCACACCCCAAACTGACGGGAGTCTCCTCCTTCTTCACCACCACAGACGCCTGCGTCGGTGTTTGCGTCGACTGAGTAGCAGGGTTCGCAGGCATCTTCTCCTTCTCATCATGCTCGATATCGACAACCTTCAAAACGGCTTTACCCTCCAACACCCTCCTAACCTTGTCCTGATCCCAGGCTTTCGACCCACCAAGACCAACAGGAGAAGTCCCAGAAGATCCGGAGAAAGCTTCCCAGAAGGCCGATCCCAACCGTCCCAAAATAGTCTGACTAGCAACAGCAGCCAACATAGCCTGTTGAGGCGTCGGCTGTTGGTCCCTTCCATCCCGAAGCCCAGCAGGCTGTAGTTGCGGTGAAGCTGATGGTGATGGGTAAGCCGAAGCTCCGGAGTTCGAGTACGAGTACGACGACGAGGCCTTGCCAGACAGCGTATTGGCCGAAACCGCCGACAAAGGCACCTTCGAACTCGAACCATTCGAGTTGGTGAAATAATGAGGGCGTAACCCGCTCGCCAATCCCGATAGTCCTGGTTGAGAACTGGTAGGAGAAGCCGATCGAGAAGCAGCTGACTGTTGCGCTTGTTGTTGTAACTGCTGAGCAAAGCTCGCAGCGGTCGGTTGTTGTGCCAATTGTTGTTGTTGCTGATATTGATGTTGTTGTTGCGCCATCTTCGACCACAAATGCATGCGATACCTGGTGGGGGTAAAGCACCAAGAGTCATAAGCGTCTTGGACTTTGCAAAGAAGGAAGAAAGGATACGTACGCATCCAAACTCTTCATCGTGAACGGGTTCGTTTCAACCCAATTCTCAAACCCACCAACCTTCTTCTCACCATTGAAGCCCTTCTGACTCTGCATACCATTACCACCAAGACCGGCGCCGAGACCATTAAGCGCCGGGTTGATGTTCTCCTGTAACGGTGGGCTTCCTCTGGGACCAACTCCTCCAGAAGCAGCGACTTTGCCACTGAGAGCATTGATCAACGAGAACTCGGGGACAAGAGTAGTGTGTACAGGTGTGATACCGCCCACACCGCCAAACCCACCGGCGCTCCCACCCCAGAAAGCCTTGGTACCAGCCATGCGCGGCGACAATGGCAAATCCTTGGCCACGTTCGCAGTGACCAATCCATCTTTCGACGAACCAGCCCCACCAGCTTGAGCGCGCTTGCTGGCAGCCCTGCTTCCTGCTCGTTGGACGCCGCCGGACATTTGTTGTTGAGCGCCGTTAGATGCAGCTTGGGCGCGTTGAGCAGCGGATACGGTTGGGAGAGGACCAGGGGGTGGGAGTGGTGACGGTTCACCTGCGAGACGACCTTCGAGGAGGGCTTTCTTGAGCGCCGAGATTTCTTGTCGAAGGGAGGCATTCTCGGATTTAGTCGATGAGAGCTCGCCTCTTATGAGGTCGAGGAGACGGTCACGTTCAGCGACATCTCCTTCGAGAGTCGTGATGTACTCTGGGAGCGTTGAAAAGAGAGACGTGGTTAGCTTGTGATCAAACGACAGACAAAGGAGAAATAAAAAACACCATGTCCAACTACTCACCCTTTCGTCGTATCCTGAAATTCCGAGCACTAATCTTGTTCCTCAACTGACGCTTCTCCTTACTCGACATCTTCTTATATTCTTCAGGTGACGGCCTCCAATCATCCGCCTCCTCACTTCCCTGCCTCACAACCGCGCTCGTCGGCACCCCACTCCCCACCACCCCGTTCCTCTTCTCTTTATTCTCTTTCAACGGACCCGAACCTACCGCCGATAGCGCCGATGCTTTCGCCGAAGACGGTGGGGGCCCAAGTGACGATTTCTTCACAACCCCTCCCGAAGCGACGGTGCCTTTCCGTCCCTTGCCTTTGCCAGCGACTTTCACAGGCACGATCTCCATAACACCCACATTCTCCTCTTCCTCTTCCTGTAAGTTCATCGCCTCCTCTTCCTCAGCATCAGCCTGTGCTTGATTATATGCATCCTCCTCCTCTTCATCGAAGTCCGACATGGCTTTCGACGTCGAGGGCGTACCGACTAATTGAGGGTCGATGGCCAGTATGGGTGCCGGTGATAGGGCCGATACGCTGGAATTCGACGAACCGGATGACGAGGGGTGGGAAAAGGAGTTGGTAGCTGGACTGCCTCCGGAGGAGGGAGACGACGAGAACGCACTCCCAGGAGCCGTGCCATTAAGGAAATCAAAGGGGCTGATAGTGGTAGGAAGAGGAGGAGGACCGAGCAAGCCCTCCGCTTTACTCATCAACTCGTCTTCCAAACTGGCAAAGTTGAAGAACGAATCGGGATCAAGTGGCGCTACAGTTCCACTCATTCCCATCGCACTCGAGTAGCTGGGAGGGAAAATGAAAGGCTGGGGTGGCGTTGGTGGTAAATTCGAGTATGAATGCGAGGGCGATCTTGATGCTGATCGTCCGCCAGAAGATGAAGGCCCAGAAGAAGATGAGGAAGACAACATATCCATGTTGAAGAAATCCTCAAACGAAGAGGGGCCGTTGTTGAACGAAAAAGACTGCGAAAGTGGATTGTCCACCTGCATCTTGACGAATAATCAAGGAGCGAGTGATTCTGGTGTATATGTTGTGCTGCTGCTGGTTGTTGGTGGAAGTAAAGAAGAAGAAGGAGAGTTGTGGTGAAAGTGCTGCGTGTGGAAACCTGGACGCGAAGCAAAGTGGCTACAATAGGGAATTCCCACGGTCATTATGCAATCACGAACTTGGTAACCGCAGCCCAACGCCACCGAACGGAGATTGACTCACCCCTTCCCTCGCCTTCGACAGCCTTCCATCGACCATCGATACATAGCAAAGGGGCGTGGGCAGCAACGAGGACCTGGCGGCAGTAGATTGTAGGCATGAGGGCAGTAGAACGCAGCCATGAGGGCATTAGATTATAGATTATCGTGTA